TTCTAATAATTTAATTTTATCTGACTCATTTATATTGACAATTCAGACATACATTATGCATTTTAAAGTAGACGACTTTAAAATGATATTGCCAATATTGTTGAATTGCGCTCCTGGGACGACTTTACTTATAAGATAGTTCATTCGATTACATGAAATCAACTTTAACTTGAGAATATCCGTCAGAAAAAAATCATAGCATGTAATTCGTCTTTAAAAAGACAAACACATGACATGATGACAGTAAAATTCTCATGTTAGAGATTCCATAGTAAATTATGAGGGAAAAAACAGGAAAAAATCCTCATAATACTATCCCGACCTGGTAAGTATTTAGTCATGCATTTAGTTTACCTTCAAACACCAAACTCTGATTTTATATGTTTTGTTATTTAAGAAACGTAAATGATGTATCCTCTATATGTTACTGACTTACTAATACCGGTATTTTCTTATTAATAACTTCCAACACTTTCAATATTGGTAACCAGATCCTACTACATTATGCTGAGGAATTTGGGACATAATTGGTCTCATTTAACATAATTAGAGCCGCTTCTTTGATTTTTCTTTTTTTACCATCCGTTTCTTTTAGGACTACATTTGAATTATTCCATTGAACCCTATGTTCATTATCCCATGCGTGTTTACATATTTGAGATAACCCCCTCTGTGGCTCAGTGGTAAGAGCGCCTGCCTTTAAACCTAAAGGTCGTGAGTTCGAATCCCACCTGGGTGGAAATTTTCGTTTATTAAAAAAATTAATAAATGAAAATAATTTCTATCCTTGTGTGATCGGTACACACCGGAGGGACCGCAGACGTTCGGATACAATTAGCGTCTCTTAGCAAAGACAATGACGTCGACTTTGCTAAGTATCAAGACAATTACTCTACACACACACACACACACACACACACACACTACACCTCAAATTGTAAGATTGGCGAATGGATTTAGTGTCCGCAGTCATTTAAACACAAACAAACAACAACATATTTGAGATCTATCAAATTCTCTATTTTTAATATAAGATTGATGTTCACTTATTTTAACATTTAATGGCCTTGATGTTTCTAATGATTTAATTTTTTTAATAGTTTTTCCCTCACAATTTACTATGGAATCACTAACAGGAGAATTTTACTGTCATCATGTCATGTGTTTGTCTTTTTAAAGACGAATTACATGCTATGATTTTTTTCTGACGTATATTCTCAAGTTAAAGTTGATTTCATGTAATCGAATGAACTATCTTATAAGTAAAGTCGTCCCAGAAGCGCAACTCAACAATATTGGCAATATCATTTTAAAGTCGTCTACTTTAAAATGCATAATGTATGTCTAAATTGTCAATATAAATGAGTCAGATAAAATTAAATTATTAGAAGAACTTTTCACTAAGTAACAAAAAACAAAATTTGTTTAATTTACTGTTTGTAAATTAATGTAAGTTAAATAGTAATTAATTTAAAATGCCACAAGAAAATAGCTTCAGAACAATATTAACACTACGAATCCTAAGAATTCCTACTTAATTCAACGTTTTGCCACTGTGCTTTTTAAAACTTGCAAAGAAGACATATTGATAAATTAGTCGACAAGGGAATCTATAATTTGCATTCCACATGCCGTTCCTCACGGTAAAAGTTCTTAGTGAATAGAGTGGTACTCGAAACCAAGTAAAGAACTAATACATAAAGACGTTATTAGATTAAATTTCGATGTAGGGCATCCGACAGCCGCTTATACGTATTTCAACCTCATTAGGTCTCATCAGAGCGACATATGCAAGGTCTGTTTGCAAATTTTAGAATGCATGGTGGTAAAAATTTGAATTTAGTTTCGCCAAGTAGTATATCTTAAGATTCCTAATGGTTTTATTAGATGGCGTTGTAACGTCTCTAAATAATTATTTTTATAATTATTGTCCTATAATGGGAGATATTTGGTTTCGATTCAGACCAACTGCATATGTCGCTCTAATGAGACCTAATAAGGTTGAAATACCTATAAGCGGCTGGCGAATGCCCTGCATCGAAATTAAATCTAATACCGTCTTTCTATTTTAAGCCGGATTTATAAACGGACATAAACATAATTTTAGTCTTTAACCATAATCTTATTATATAAGCATAATGTTAAAAGTTAATAAATAAATGTACCCATTTAAAAGCATCCATAATACATAAGACATAAATTTAGTCCTTAAAACGTGACCTTGAAAGTTGGTAACTTTCAACATTTATGAATTAAGTATTAAACATTATGGAATTGTTGGAATATGCGCATGCGTTGGTAGAATCATCTGCAGTTTCCTCGTATACATAACCCTACTATTTTAATTTAATGTTTTTGGAGCGAATTCAACCACATATTTATTTATTTCACTTTTCTATGAATCTAAAGACCAGAAAAAAATTCTTCATGCTCTATAAAAATTTGGTTAGGTTTGTATTTTCTGAAGTAGTTCTTAAATATTATGGTTATGTATTATGTCTAGTTATAAACCAATCTTAAATCTTATGAATTATGATTGTGGTTGAAGTTATGTTTATGACTTATGATTATGTACTATGTCCGTTTATAAACCTGCCTTTATGGTTGCAGTGCTGGGCAGTAGATGGCCGTTATTGTTAATTACCCTTCCCAATCTTTGATAAATAGTTTTGCAAATTGCAAATAGTTTTGCTAGTTCAAAGGTCAGTAGAACTCCAAATTATGACATATTTAAAAACCTTATATCTATTTTGCTAGGTTCATTCAATACCCGGTTTGAAGGTTTTCAAAAAGATAAAATGAATGTTGACTTTTTCATAAATCCTTTTTTTATTTCTCTGCAAGATATCAATTGTTACTCAGCTGAAATACAGATCGAAATTATTGATTTACAGAAACACACTACACTAAAAACCAAATATAGGGAAATTATTTTTCAACTGTTACTGATCCCAATTATATTGAATTTTGGAAATTTGTACCAGCAAACAATTTTCCTAATTTACACGAGTTAGCTCTGAGATATTGTTGTAGATTTGGTTCAACTTACGTTTGTGAGCAAATGTTCTCTATTATGAACATAATAAATCAAAATATCGGTCACGATTAACTGACATACATTTAAAAAATCTAATTCTGTTGGCTAGTTCCGAAATTAATCCCAATATAGATGAATTAATTAAAAAAATACAAGTTCAAATACCACATTAAATAAGTAACTGTTTAATAATTTGAATTTTAGATAATAAAAAATATTTAAGTTGTTTTGTTTAACGTTTTTATTTTATTTTTATTAACAATAAAGTAAGTTTGTTGTTATGTTTTACTTATTACGTTATTTTTTAAACCTCCACTATCTTGACTAAACGGAAAACCGTATATTATTAATATATAGTATCCATATTAGTATGTCGAAAAATTTTAGTGGCACGCCAAATTTTTTTTGTTCTCATATTGGCACTCGACTTAAAAAGGTTGGCCACCCCTGCTTTAGATCATATATAATTTGTTGTTTGTTGCTCTGATTGAATATAATAAAGAACAGCTAGGGGCAAAAAGAGAGTCGTGGAGAAGCCATTGCACTTTTCTTATTCTAAAACAAAACTAATACCACTACACACATTGCAGCAGACTGCAATGATTTATGGTTCCTAGAGCGACATATGCAATAGGGAACACTGGCGTATGGCAAAAAATAATAAACCAGAACAAAATCAAATGGACAATAAACTCATTGGAGTCATGTAAATCACGGGTGCGGAAAGGATTTATACAATAGGCCTACAGAAGGAAAATGATCTTTTGTACAAAAAATTATTTACCATTCTACACGTTTCCTTAAGAATAGGGTACATATCAAAAGCATAGAATCGATTTTATGCCGAAACTTGCCAAAACCGGTCCAAAAACGCTAAAAATCCTTGAGGCCGATAGAGGTCAGTCATACTGAAAACTTTAACTAAACTGACCGATGAACACATTAGGGATGGTGTATTAGTTGAAATTCCGAAACTTACATTCCGACAGTATGCTCAGGACTTGCCTTGGAGTGGTGTTCCTATATCCATACATTTCCTTTTTCATTAATATTTGTTTTAAGAATATATTGAACAGTATCGGAGACGTAAAGCATCCCTTCAGCCTTTTGTGGTCTTAAATTGTTTCAAAGATTTTTTGCCGGTTCTAGCTCTTACCCTGCTGTTGTTGTTGTATATGTTTTTATATGATTTTTATTAACCTCTGAGTTATTCCCATATCATTTTCATAGGTGTTTTTCTGGGAACCGTGTCATATACTTACATTTTTTAAACTGATGAGTGCCAACTCTACTTTTTTGCCATTATTGTTGGAGTGTATATTAGTGGCCTATGCACGACCTTTTTGTCGTAAATCCTGCCTGGTCATCTTTGATTATATTTGAGATAGAATTTTTCTGCCTTTCTTTCAGTATTTTCCCATATAACCTGTCCATACATATGTGCTTTGGACGATTCATCTGGTATTTTGTTTAGCTTTATTGCGTTACTCTACATTTTTTGTACGATTCTCTGTAATTGATCAGTTCCGTATTTAGTTCATTGACGATTCCTCCTGGTCCTCTAATTTTTTTTTTATTCTTTAGAGTTCTTATGGTATTCTTTACTTCGCTTAATGTTTGCCCAATCCATTCTTCATTTTGATTTCGTTGTTGTTCTTTGTTATAATTGTATAATTTTAACAAATAATGATGGTTGTCTGTTAAAGTGGAGCTCGTCTGTAATTAAAAATGGTTGTGGTAAATAAAAATATTTTTACCTTAATTGTTACGTCATTTACCTAAAAGATCTAGTATTTTTTGTTACAAATAAATATTTTAAGGGACCCTTGACGAGATGTAAGGGACCCTTGTGCTTTCCTTCTTCTTCTTTATGCGCCGTCTCCTTTATGGAGGTTGGCTATGATGACGACTATCTTACTTTTGATACTGCTGCTCTGCTAATTTACTGAAACATTTCTTTTAGGGGAAGAGGTGCAGTTACGGGGATGTTAAAAACCGGAAACAAAAGTTTATACGTTTTTGACAGAGATGGAGTTCATTATCAGGTTGCTCCGCCTTGTTTACTGGACTTTTATATCCACGAATCTCGGCAGCGTAATGGTTTAGGGAAGCAACTGTTTGAATATATGCTACAGGTAAGGCTTTATTTTAATCTTTATTGAATAATTTATGTAAATTTAATTATTTTAGCGAGAAAATGTGGAACCTGTCCAAATGGCAATAGACAGACCTAGCGAGAAATTATTGGGATTTTTTAACAAACATTATCAACTCAACGAACCTGTCAAACAGATGAATAATTATGTTGTTTACGATGGATTCTTTCCAAGCAAAGAACAAATTGCTCCTCCAGAACCGGAAATAGAAGATGCGAGAAGGTAATGTAATGTATCTTGATGTTATTGAATAATTTAGAGTGACTATTGGTTTGTGATAAGCAGAAGCTGACAGGCTTGTTACAATGGAGTTATTTGTCAAGGAAGATAAAAAAGTAGACGCCATTATATTTTTTTGCAAAAGGCGCTTTGTGCACGATTTTCACATTTCCTCATTTCTACATAAATAGCTTAGCGTATAATAATACCAAAGTGTCTATCTTGTGTTAATGTGTCTAATAACTTTGCTTATTCTATCTTAAAAAGGGTATCATGAAGATATTTTTCGTGTTACCTTTGCTTGTAGCGGCAAAGTGTTTATTATAGTTCAATAAGTGCGGCGAAGAATATTATTTGTAATTCAATGCCAGGAAAAACTATACTCCTTACTAAAACATTAGCGAAAAGAATTACCCTTTAAAGAATGCAAGTGATATTAATAATTTTTGTTTGTGTTTCAATCAAAACTGTTATGATTACAATTTTAATGAAGTTAATAAAAAATATCAGGCAAAAAGAATTACATTTGGAAGAGTAACAGCGATTTAATTCTAATTATATGACTTCCTCATGAGAAGAAAAGAATAACCCCACAATGTATCCTCTATGTATCAGAGTTAAAACACTCCATTAAAAGATATCATAAACTAATATTGTTCTGAAGCTATTTTCTTGTGGCATTGTAAATTAATTACTATTAAACTGGGAATAAGCCACAATTAAAGATAAAAATACATTTATTGACGTTTCAATTTCCACTTCGGAAATCGTTCTCAAAATGTATTTTGAGAACGATTTCCGAAGTGGAAATTGAAACGTCAATAAATGTATTTTTATCTTTAATTGTGGCTTTTTCCCAGTTTAATAGTAATTAATCATAAACTAAGTTTTACTATCCTTAACTAAATTTTAAAATAAAAACATTTTTAGAATGAATTTTGTCCATTATTTTATATTTTATATGTGTGTTATTAATGCTGAGTGTCAAAGTTTTTTATAAATAATCTCAACGACTATGTCTTGAAAAAGTTTTATTGGCTGGTTGGGATTGTAAGGATGGGACTCAATGTTGTTTAAAATTTCTGAGGAAAGTATTGAATTAATTTTGGAGTGTCTAATCCTGTCACAATGTAATGGCAAATAGAATATTCTATAAAAAATATTTAATATTTAAAAATAAACAGTTTTTAACAAGGACATAATATCCTTAAGCATATCATGTTATATCATTTTATTGACTTTCTGATTACATTTTACTAAAATAATGCAGTAATCTCTCATATTTGAAAAAATAACACCCTTATCTCTTAACCGTGTCTTAATTAAACATTGCATCTACTAATTATAGTGTAACAAACTTTAAGAAGAATTCAGCTAATGGACTACAAGCTTTCCAGGCTCCTTTGGGAAGATATGGAGCTCCCAGACCACCGTGCAGTATGGGACAGGTATAATTAACATTCTTTTCATATCTATATGCTATTCATTTAAAATAATCATCGGCTTATCTTTAAAAATAATGCAATAAATAACAAAACTCAAATAAAGGTATCCGCGCACTTAACCGAACCGGTCGGCAACGCAACGCACCATGACGATCAGCAATTGAATATCTTTGTGTATTCAAATAACTCAACGTGCACTTTACAAAAACTTAATACATCTACTCACACTCAACAGCAACCAAAACTCAGAATCGAATATTTTCGCGATCAGTGATTTCGGTGGAATAGAATGTAAATGTTGTATTTTGTTTGTGATATTAGTTTTTAGAATAGATAAGAGTTCCTGGTATCTTTTGTAACTCATTCTTAAGTATTAATAAAATTTGTCCTGATGATCGATTAAATCAGTAGAAAATTCACTTTCCGTGTTTCGCAAATTCCGAGCTTTATCGGTGCAGTTGGTTGCTGGCCGGTTCATTCAAGCGCGTGCATACCTGAAGAGATAAAACAGTTATTGCTCAAATTTAATCTCAGTTCTGTGATCTTTTTGGAATTGATTTAACTAATATAACTGCGGTATTCTTAAAATAACACAAGATACCGTATATACTAATATGTTGAATTAAAAAACCGTTTCATTTCACATTTCAACGAATTCCAAATTTTATTTATAAATATAACTTTACCATAAAATACCTAAACCATTTGATGAATCACGACTGAATGGTTCTTTCGATCATACTATTTTACGGTACTTCATTCCCCTCTCTGAAACTGATTTCTCTTTGATATTACTATAAATATGTGTCTTCTTACAGTTGACTTTCATCCCGTATCTTTCGCTAGCAGTTAATACACGCTTTATTATATTTTGTAGTCTTTCGACATTATCCACTAGCGAGACAGTGTCGTTTGCATGCCTGAAGTGGTTAAATAGCTTGCCACTGATTGTTACACTATGAATTTAAATTTGTAAGGCTATTAATATTCTGTACCTGGAGTCGACCCGGTTGTTGACTAATGCTTCTTCTATTGCCCAGAGTTCTACGCTATCAAAAGCTTTTTCATAATCTATAAAAGCCATACATAATGGGAGATTGTATTTGTTGGTCTTTTCTATTAGGATTTTCAAAGTATATAGTTGGTCACAGGTGCTGTACCCTTTTCTAAATCCGGCTTGTTCTACTGGTTGATATCCGTCAAATTTAATTGTTATCCTGTTTGTAATAATCTGTGTAAAAGTTTTGTAAAGTTGCGAAAGAAGTGAAATTGGTCGATAATTTTTCAGGTCTGTGGTGTCTCCCTTTTTGTGTATTAGTATTCTTTTAGCAGTATTCCGTTGTTCAGATATGTTGCCTTGGAATGGACATTTATTAAATATGATTTTTAGATATGTGACGGCTTCTCTTTCTATTTCTTCGTGGCTTATTTCGGGCATCACTTTGGAGTTGACATTTGTTATCTGCCTTTTCAAGTTCTGCTTTGAGGAGTTAGAAGAATCGTTTCTGGAATCAAACTTTTCAATTGAGTTTGCTATATCAGATTTACTTTTTTTTAGTTTTATCCTTGTTCATTTTTAATGGTTATTATGTTTTTATTTCCTAGTTTCGGTTTGGCACATTTGAGACTTCAGGTTTTCTGTATGACTTGTTCTATACGGTCTTCTTGATGTTTTTTAATGTCCTCTTTTATCTCTTTTCTTATTACTCGATTAAGTTGCTTAAATTCTGCAGTGTCTCTTTTGAGCTTGCATTTAATAGTTCTTTTGTTAGGACTTTAACAATTACTTTCTGACCTTCCCAGGAGAATCTGTTATGATTTTCCAAATTCTTGTTAGAAACAGCATGGGATGGGAGGCAGAAATTACAAGAGGTCAGCGATTAATTTGGGCTGTAGCCATTTCAAGAAGCAGAGGAACAAGGATCCAGCTTTAAAAGTTCATCATCGATGACATCAAAAATTTATCCGGATTATAGCTTGTCTTCCATCTTTCATTGCTGAAGAATGGTGGCAAGTTGATCGTGAATGAACTAGCAATATTTGTGCCCCGCCCAATCATCCAAATCTGCCCTATTTCGTCAGTTTTTCGAAGAGCCTATTTAGTATTGTGGAAGTTAAACTTTCACATCTTGATCTTTTTAATTCTTGAAATTTTTTTATTCTTAAAAAGCAACGTTGACGTTTAATGGTTATACGGAAGTAACTATACACCCTCCTACCCCAATTGTCAAAATTTTCTATAACCTTTTGAGAATTAAAAAAGTTGACAAAACATCCATTTGTAGTTTAACGAAGATCGCACTCCCACGCTAGTCATGTGATCTTTCTAAAACTAGTTTCTTGTTATTTGTCTTTGGTCCAGGGGCTATGGTTCCACAGTGAGTTTTTTATATCAGCAGAATAAAACATTTGTTCTTATCACAAGGTCAGATAACATAACTTTTTTATGTATAGATAATCCTGATTGCTGGAGGCTGCTGCTGGAAACAGTTGACTAGAACTGCAAACGCCCCATTCTATGAGGTTTCTCAACTAAGACATTTTTTTCCCTATGCTGCGCTTACCTCCAAACTTTCCCTGTATAATCACTTGGAACAGTCAGTTGATATTTATCCCCACGTGTAATATGGAGATAAATAGATAAATATATTATCCTTCAATATTAATTCAAATAATTAGAGGGGGTCCCGAAAAAACCGTTAGTTTTTCTCATTCATTCTCTTTACCACTCTTCGTTAGTGATCAGATGTTGGAAGGATTAATCGACAAAATTCGGGGTCATCCAATGGATTGTCTAGCAACCCTACACACACGTTACGTTTACTGTAGTTATACTTTTATGTTCAGTTATTTTATCATTGTAATGTTTCTTTGTTTTGTGTAATATATATCTCTTATTAAATTACTAAAAATATATTATTTTTAGATAATCCATAACCAGTCAACTATGGACCAACGAAAGGAACCGGCAGGGCAAGTATTAAACTACACGTAATATTGTAGCAAATTTGGACTTCACAAAAAAGGGAATTGATAAATGAAACGGATATATTTTTGCATATCCATAAAAAATATTTTATGTTGTAATCAGGTGTTAACCTATTAGCAAATATACATACTTTAATGTCGACAGTAATATTTATATTAACAAAAGAATAAATAAACAACCACGTTTCCTAAAATTGGTCGAAGGACAATTTTGCAAGCTGTGATCTACTTTCGTCAAATGTTGTATATATTATTTGTTCAAAATTCGTAGTTTAAAATTACAATTAAATACAGTTGAATTCATACATTTCTGCATATATTTAGAAAGTTAGTTATGTCAACAGACTTCATTAAAATTTTTTTCTCTATCGATAGCCTAAAGAGATTTAAATATATGAGTATTCAAGTTTATGCGACTGTATTTGTTCACTGTCATGGTGAAAAAAGCTTTGCGGACACTTTGACTTTGAACTTGTTACAGTGGACTGCATTGTTGTATGCTTAGTAGGTACTGAGAAAGTCCCAGAGACGCTTAAATTCGCGTTCTACTCTCTCTCTCTCTCCTTCCTCACTCTCTCTCTAAACCACTCTCTGTTTCTCTATATCTCTACCTCTCTAGCCTCTGATCACTATTTCGCGATAATCAACTTCATTCCGTGGATTCACACGGAAGTCAAATCAAGTAAGTTAATAGTGATTTTGTTTTTTGTTTTACCAACTTTAAGAGATTAAAATATATATGTATTCGAATTCAGACAAAATGTTTCCATTTTCATGGTGAAAAAAGCTTTGCAGACACTTTAGCTTTGAACTTGTGACAGTGGACTGCACTTTATTATGTTCAGTATTGAAAAAGTCTCAGAGACGCTTAAATTCGCGGCCTCTTCTCTCTCCCGCTCTCTTTCGCTCTCTTTTTCTCTCTCTATCTCTACCTCTCTAGCCATTGATCACTATTTCGTGATATCCAACTTCAAACTGGATTCACACGGAAGTCAAGTCCAGTAGGTTAAGACTGATTTTGTTTTTTGGTTTACCTACTTTTCAGTTTTACTTTTTCTTACTTGTTTTATTTTGTACACCAGACTCACTACAGTCAATCGGCTTATTGGATATCTTTTACTAACTATTATACATATGTATAATAGTCAGGACTTACTATATACAGGGTTTTCCAATAGGAACTTCCGAACTTTGACAGTTGGTAGCGGTCATAGTTTGTAAGCTACACCTGTCAATGTGGCTGTCATTTATTCAGTCTGTTTTGTACAATCACCTTGAATGGATATAGCGACATCAAGTGTAAATGATAAAATTGTTCAAATCTTGATAAAACATATTGACCCATTAGCTAAAATTGTTGTGTTGTTCGCCATAATCGTTCTATCGAAAGAACTATTCGTCGTGTGGTAGATAAATTAGAGTCCACTGGTTCAGTAAATAATCAACCAGTACCCGTTTGTCGACGAAACGTAAGATCTACTTAAAACATCGCTCCTATCGATTATAGTGTACACTAGAATCCGAAGCAGTGGATTTCACGTGACTTTCAAGAGCCCTTTCACAGCACAATTTGGCTAATTGTGGGTCGTAACCTAGGCCTGCTTACATGTAAAATTCAACTGACCCAGGGGCTGAAGGTAAACTACCGTAGACAATGACATGTGGTTGCTAAATGGGCTCTGGAGCAGTTGGAAACTCACACTAATTTTCATTGAGAAATCATCTTTAGCGATGAGGCGCCATTTTTGGACCAACAGAACCGTTATTAGTGTTATTAAGAACTATTTGTATCTCTCCTTCTGTCTAAGTCCATGTTCGCCTCTCTGCTCATTCACTCTACATTACATTGTTATTTGTGGATTCAGAAGTCACTGATTTCTGAGGCCTCTTCTGGACCATCTCTTTTTTGCAGCGTTCATTTTTTCTCCACGATTTAGGACGAAATACTTGCAGTATGCCACTGCCAGTGCGCCCAAACTATGCCATAAAATCCCCTTGAGTTCGCTCCCTCCGGGGCATCACTTTTTCCTCTGTACCATACATGCCCTGAGCACTATTGTGTTCCACCTAGTTCCTAATTTTAAATTTATGAAAAAATGTGAGTTTGATTAACTACGTGATGGTCGTAGTGATCCTGCAGTTGGATAGTAGATTATTTGATTTTATCCTTCATAATCAGCTGCAACAACTCGTACTTATCATTTCTAAGTATGTGCTTCATTTATGCTATCTTTCTTAATGGCGATCAACAGTTCTCTGTCTCTTATGTGCAACACCATTTGTACGGGAAAGGATGAGGTAACTGGTTCAATGATTTAAAAGTAATTATTTGTAAAACTCTATTCTCACCTTCCTACATTTGGTAAATAAAAAAATAAACTCGAAGAAGCAGCGACCAATACGTTTCAAAAATGCGGATTAGTAATAGTATAGTAAAATTGAAAATAGAATAATTTAATGAGACTTCTGGCAGAAATATTTTTATTTTAATGAATTGCATAAATAAGTAGCAATATGGGGATTGCCAACAAAACACCTTTTGAAATGATAATAAAATACATAAATGTTTATATAATATGTTCTTAAAATACACAAATATTCTTATTAAATGTTCTTGAAAACTAAATAAATGAGATGTGTAGAGCAAAAAAGTTTAGTTGTATATCCGGCAACCCTGTAATTTGTCGGATCGGCATTTACGAATAATTGGCACAAAAACTGTCGATTTTCTTCTTTATTAAAGAATAATTTCAGGTACTTACGTATTAAAAGCACTAACAATTAGTTAAATAAAGTTAACTATTTAATAAAATAAAATTAACTTGAATTTGCTTCTATTTGGGAAGCGTGAGATGCACTATTTATTTCCTTCTATTTAAGAAACTAAAGAGGCAGCTTGACTAGCGTGCTTCTATTCCTTTCATTTTCTACCTTTATCACCACTTATGATGTCATAAATTCAACCTTAAACATTAATCCCATTAATTTAGTAGTTCATTTATTTTTTCAATAATAGAGATTTGTTGAATTAGACAATAAATTTTATCATTTAAACAAATTTAATTTTAACTACAGGATCATTAATAAGATATTAGTTATTATTACAATAAAATAAATTTTATAATTTCACAATAATTAAAAATTACATTAAATTCGGAACACACCGACACCTACTCACGTTCAACTGTCTTCTTAAATTATATTCCTGTTACCTCAGCCAGTTGGTCTATATCGTTTTAACTGACAAGTACCACGTGTTAAAAATCGAGCAGGGAGACATGTAGTCCCTACAGTAATTACAAATCCATTGTCACCGACCTAGAGTCACAACATAATCAAAATATAACATTTGGAATGCTGTAAATCCATACATGGAGGTCTCACAGATAACTTTATTGTTAGCTACAAGTACACAAGGCACTGAGGATGATATGTTCAACGTTATGCTAGAACTTAAATTTTGACGACACTTTTTATAAAGTTTTAACTATTTGTTTTTATACCACAATACACATGTGTGAAGTGTTTTAACTTCTTTGTTTTTTTTTTAATAAAGTGTACTTACTATATTCTTTTTGAATGTTGTATGTTTGTATTTTGAAATCGCGTACCAAACATTTTTGGAAAGAAATATTGCAGGATTTATTAAAAAAGTTTATATAAACTTTTTGTTACATTTGTAATTTTTGTAAATCCTTTCGAAGTCCAAGTTTGATTCTATTTGAAATGTTACTATTGTCGAATTCATTTTTAAACATACTTTACACTTTTTACATACTAGTGTTCAGTCCCTTCCCGCTACAAACTATGTTGGTACGTCCTATAGGTAAATATATCCATTTATCTTTAGATTCTTCACTCATATTTCCTTTATCCTAGTCCTCAAACCAACTCGTACAAGACCCAAAGCACTCCCAATATGTATTACGGAAATCAGTATCAAAATAACTTAAATCAATATCAAAGTAACGTGGTGTCCAACCAAGCTCAAGTTGATTCCGCTAACATACAAAATGTAAACTACCAAAACCAAAATTATTCTTATCCTACTTCGAATGTCAATAATACGTACAATACGACTGCAGCGAATGTCAATGAATATCCGAATCAAATGAATTATACTGGTTATCCACATCAACAATCTGGTAATGGTAAATGGGCAATGGGAGATAGCCAAAATGTCCAGACAGACCAACAGTATCAGACAACTGCTCCAACAATATCTTCCGCAAGAGTAGCTAATGGAATAATTGATCACGGTCAAGCTGATAGGTCTGTAAATAAAGATCCTCTGATTTCTTCACAGGATTCAAGGGTAAGTCAATCAATACAATTGTTTCTTTTAGTTTACGACTTATTTAGTGACTAAGTACTAATAAAATATTTTATACATGTTTTAAAAAACTATATCCTCCATACTAAAATTGTATAAAATATAATTCCCTTCATTTTTGTTTATGATCATTCATGTCGTAAAGTTGATAATAAACCATATAATTCAATAATTATACTTCTCTCCTTCACTATTTTCCCCCTTAACTCGTAAGATATCGACAGCTCGAAAAAAATTGTAAAAAGAAATTATAGGAAATCGTATTAGCAACAATTTAAGTCGTTGCCATTTTTGTCGAAAAGTTGAAAATGGTAGAGATATTGTACAAAAACGTTTCTCCTTGAACTTCAAGATGGCGACCGAAATTCTTTCATTATTTACTCGGCTGCTTTACTTTTGTGGAATTTAAATTTGATTTGAAGCCTGAAAGTCAGGTTTTGTTACATTGTTTTAACAGCTATTAAGAATACGGCCGAGGCCAGAAAACCCTGCCTGTGAAATGAGAGGTGGAGAGCCGTCGTTCGAGTTGTCGGGTCTGTAGAAACGCACTCGAGATGCATAGTCATCTCGGTCACCGGTCTACACTCCTAGTATCAGAGACGAGCATCTCGTGGTACCACTCTACTCTCATTCTACAAGAGCCAGGTGAGGTTGAACGAGCTGGGCCCGTAAATACCTCCCACAGCCTTACACCACCGAAGGTGGTGGCAGTGTCCCGGCACGTACCTACCTGGAAAGATTTATGAGTGGTAGAGGAGCGATTCCTCGGCGGTGACCTGTGTACGTGCGAGGTGGAATTCCTCCGCTTGCGTCGCCTCTCCGCCCCCGGGGGATCACCGGACGGGTGACGTACTCGCAACACAGATACTGCGGGTAAGGTGTAGCCTTACAATTTTTCGGCATCGTGCCACCTTAGTTGGTGTCGGACTCGTAGGGGCAGTTGAGTCGCTAAAGGTCGTATGCCGAAAGGCCAGGCAGGACCAGGGTCCTGCCAGTTTTAAATTGGAGGGCACAAAGCAACGCTATGTATGGAGGCTGAAGTAGTATGAAGTCGTGTTTTGCTATAAACCGTTGCCCAAGCTTCGAAACACATGTGCAGCAACCAATTTTTTAGAACTGGAACGTAAAATTCACTGATCTCTTAGTAGCTTATTCATGGAGTTAATAGTGCACTTGTATATGCTATCACTGTAAAGACTGTTATTTTGTTACGAAATCCTAACTGCACACCCATGATTTGTCAGCGTTTATGACCTTTTTAAGGAGATTTTCATTCTTAGCGACCATTTCGAGTTGTCCAGAACGAATTTTAAACGAACATTTTTAAATTATTAGAATAATCGAAATAAAAGTTTGTAAAGTCTCAAGATTTATTCGAACGTAGTTCACTGTTAACAGGCGTGATGCCATTTTTAAACCGATTAATTAATTCTGTTATCTGCGTTTTGCTAATACATTGATCACCAAATGACTGTAACATGGTTTAAGTAGTTTCCGCAAATCTTTTTTCGAGTTTAATTCGTTTAAATTTAATTGCTAGCATCTCTTCGTAATACTCTCTCTCTCTCTTGCTCGCTCGCTTTCTCTCTCTTCTCCAGGTTTTCCATGGTCCGCGTTATTCTAGTGATAGAAAACTGCGATGAAGTAAAAAAAGCATAGTATTATCAACTAGGCGCTTCACGTTGGCAACTGTAATATACATAAAGTTAGTGAAGATTTACTAATTACGCTCGTACTTCACTGAGGGCGCGGGAAGGTTTGAACGCGTAGTTATCAATGAAAGTTACTTTCATATTTTTAAAACAGACACCTCGTATTTTTTCAAATATAAACGTATTTTAAAATTTTTTTTGTACATCACTTATTACTTTAGTTAACTTTTTAAAACATTTTATATAGCGTTTAAATAAGACACCAATTTGTAGGTTTCTCAAGGTTTGAATCAGCAACATTACAATCCTTCTCAAATGACACAATCGGCAATTTATCAACCTACACATTCTACCTATTCAGTGCAAGGTTTACGGCAACCTCAAATTGCACAAACTGTACCAAACCTGAGTATTCAACAACGATACCCTACTGATATTCAACAGTCACAAACGTATGTAAATCAACCAAATCAACAGAATATGATAATTCCCAAAGAGACGACTCAAACACCTGTTGCTTCAATGCACCAATTGAATCAGCCCCAATCTCCAGTTATGCTAAATGTTGTACCTCAGCAATATACCCATCAACAAATGCAGCAAGAAGTTAAGTATAATCCTTCCTTGGTACCACCATCAAATTCTTTTGAGAATCCGAGGCAATTTACACAACCTCAATCACAGCAGGTAGCAGCTCCAACACAACAGTATAATTCAATTACTCCTCACGTTCAACAACAAAATGGAATGGGTGATTCTAACCTCCAGAACCAGTCTCATCAACCTCAAGGACATTCACAGCAACAATACTATAGTCAACAAGTGGCTACATCTGGGGATTCCAGGCAACAATATCTCCAAACAGATCAAAATCAAGTAACTCATTTAAACATTAAACGGAGTGAAAGTACAAACCCTATTGCATCTACTGTTCAGATGAGTCCAAATGTAAAGCCTGAATTGTCGAAGGTAAGAAGATATATCAATATTAGTAGGTAAAAGAATTTTGATAATTTTTTTTAATTGGTGTAAAAAAATCGCGTACTTAACAACTTTATTTCATTAGACTTCCGCATTTCAAACTTGCTTTGTCGATTCAAACATTCTTCGACCATATAGTGATACATTTCTTGCATTAATGTGGTGTCTTGTGAATATAGTTACTTGTTTCTCACTTTATACAATGAAATTTATACATTTTATTCGTTTCAATTACAAAATATGTAGATGAATAATTTTGTACGTGCTTTAAATAAAAGATAAATAAAGAGTTCTGGGTCTATATATAGATGTTATCGTTAAATTACTCTTTTTGATCTGTTGATACACTTGCTGCTAAAGTAAACACCTGTTTAAATAATTTGTCATACAATTTTTAATTTTAAATCGATTATTGCCATCAGAAATGTATCTTAATTGTATGTGGAGTTCGCACTTTCTTTAGCGATAAAAAGCTAGGCAGCAGCTCTTTATCACCATTAGTACTCATGCAACCCTAGTTGAGCTTTGCCCTTGACAAGTTTGTTTTTCCAGTCTTTCCTGTCCTTTGCCGAATGTTCTCAATTTTACAATCCAATCCTCCTTGCGTTCTCTTATACATCATCTTACTACCTCAGCCTTGGCCTCAATACTACAATTTCACATTGGCAGCAATAACAGGATTTGTATGAAAGTTTGCACTCGCTTTATAGGAGTATGATATCCCTAACATTTTTTTATTTATTTTTATGTCTTAAAATCGATAAAATCTCAAATAATGAAAATTATCTAAGCTGTTCCTTGTCCTATTAATCTAATACATCTTTCAGATATTTTCCTAATTTTTTTAGACTCAAGTACCCGAAATACCTCAAGCAAATTATGTACCTGGTATAGGTGAAGCACGTACTGAGCAACAATTCCATAGTCCCCTTAATGCAGCTGGTCAAACGAATCTTCAGTATTCACAAAACCAACCTAATTGGGAACAAAATAGAATTGGTACTGTAATTCAATCAGCACCATATAATCAAGCAGAACAGAGAAATGAACAAAGTAAACTAACCCAGTTACCGCAAGGACACCAGTTTAATGTTGCCCATCAAACTGTTGAAAATCAGTCGCAATCCGTTCAACAGTTTCAAAATAATGAGCAACGATTCCAAAACCACGAAAATACAGATACTTCACGTGGTTTGGACGTAAGAGATACATTTGGACAAAATTTGAGCCAAACAAATAATCAAAATCAAGAAAGCGTCCAACCAAATTATCATATGATGAATGCTTCTAATACTAATACATTTAATACTCAAAATCATAGTTTACCTGCACCCAAACATGCTGAAATTCAACAAAGTATGGGAGAAATTCATCCGACTTCATCTTACCAGTATGTTCAAGCTAACTCTGGATCGTATCGTCCACCACAGCAAATTTCTTCTTTACCAAATTCAACACAGGATCAAAACATCACATCTACTGGAGTAGCGCAACAATCACACCAGACAGTAAACAGACAGCAGAGCACAGCTCATTATGCTCAACAATTAAGACCAATTGGGCAATTTCAAGCACAAGGAATCCCCGTATCTTCAATTACAACTACTGACTCAATTGCTGCTCAACAACCGTCAATACCAACAAATCAATATCAACAAAATTACCAAAATCAACCCACTACAGCTGAAGCAAACCAAACACACCTTAACATTAATCAACTTAGTACATACCAAGAAAATGCCCAAATCAGACCTAGTCAACACCAGTTAAACTCCCAACAGAGTTCCGCATACACCCAACAAAATATTGGCCAGTATTTGCACAATCCTAATAGCCCACCTCAACCACAAGCACCCATATTAATGCAACAACATACGCCAGTGCTAAATACGGTACAGGGAAACGTATCTGCAACTACTGCAGGCCAAATTGGGTACCAGCTAAAGCAACATGAACAAATACAACCGAAGCAAGCTGGAGATTATTTGGCACAGCCACATTCCAACCCCTCGTTTCAAGGAAATACTGCTGGTCAAGTTGGGTACCAGCTAAAGCAACAGGAACAAATACAACCGAAGCAAGGTGAAGATTATTTGTTGGCACAGCCACATTCCAACCCATCGTTCCAAGGAAATACTGCTGGTCAAGTTGGGTACCACCTAAAGCAGCACGAACAAATACAACCGAAGCAAGCTGGAGAATATTTGGCACAGCCACATTCCAACACATCATTCCACGGAAATATAAACAAGCAGACTAAAACAACTAAATCCGCTGCGGAATTATTTAAAACGAATGCTTTTCAACCGACTTCAATTTCAAAACTGGCCAAACGGCACTTAAATAAGTAAGACATATTTATTTATTCGTATAATGTAACAATTTATTATTAGTAGTAGTTGTTTTTTTACCAATTTATTTCTATTAGCGTAAACAATAGTTTTTGTCTTAAACGGTCCAATATTGTTTGTAGACATTCTTGATTTTTTAAATATTTTTATATTGATGAATTGTTTGCAAATTTAAGTCCATTTCAATAGATAAACATAGAAAAGAAAATACTGATATATGGTATTAAAGCTATGTCGTTAAAAATCCAAGTATTTTCTTCTCTATTTTTACTTATTTTGTTTTTAACGGATCTTCCAACAGGGACTTCCGAACTTTGACGGTTGGTAGCTGCCATATTGTGAAAGCTGCATCTGTCAATTTCTTCTTCTTAGGGTGCCTGTCCGTTCCGAACGTTGGCGATCATTCTGGCTATGATGATTTTGTTGGTTGCTATACGCAATGCTGTCAATATCGCTGTCATTTATTCAGTCTGTTTTCTAAATCACCATGGGCATGGATTTATATAGCAAACAACAACACGAGCAACACGTGAAAATGATAAAATTATTTTATCAAAATGAGTAAATAAATTCCACCGGTTCAGTAAACAATAAATCAATGCCTCTACGTTGGCGAAACGCACGGTCTACTATCCGTGGTCGCCGAAATAATAATTAAGAACGGACTTCCATTATATGTCTCCGAATTGCGCCAATGTAGAAACCTACAATTCTCTCTTGCAGTGTTGCCCGAATTCCAATATTTCCTTAAACTAACACATACAATTCAAAAATATAAATAGTAATATGTACACTCATGTGCCGTTGGGAATGGTATATCATCCGCAAAGTTCATATAACTTCCCGCATTTGTTATCTGCATTAAAAATTTCTTCAAGGTTAACTATTTTAGTCATCATTAAAAAATATATATTAAGTTATTACCCGCACAATTCCGAAAAACAGTACCGAAATGGAATCAAATATTACAAATGTACGACGAATATTAAACTCACTTATAAATTGAGAACATATGCATACCAGATGTGGTATATTTTTGGAGTATGCAAATATTAATAGCAATCAATGTCAAAAACAACGAAATAAGCTACACAATTCTTGCAATATTAAAATTATTCGATTAGTATTCCTAGTGGATTTTTTTTATTATAACTAATAAATTAACAATCACAATAAAACAATGTATTCTATAAGTTAATGTGATGAGTTTAGGTCCTGTCCCTTGGTTCTGGCGTGATGTGGTCCCCTCCAGTGAGAGAATCAGTGGTCCATGTTACTGGTCTGTTGGCCAACGTCGCTTTAGTCTTCTGATAACTCGATGTTGAGGTATTGCGGAAATTAATGGATTGGAGTGTGTGTTTACTTTTTGAATGTATTGTAATTTCTTTTGCTGGTACATTTCTTTTACTGTTGAGATATTGAGATCCTCATAGATTCTTTGGTTGGTTACGTACCAGGGTGCATCAACAATTGCTCTAAGATCTTTGATTGGCGTCTTTCCATAATAGCAGTATTAAATTTACCACCTCAGCCACACCGCTCTATACCATATGTTCATATTGGTTTGATAACTGTTTTATAAATTAGAATTTTATTACTTATTGACAGCTTGGAGTTTTTTTCCAATTAACCAATTGATTTCATTTGGTCTTAGTTGTATTTGTTATCTTTTTTTGGTGATGTTGTGTTCTTTCCAACACAGGGTTTGGTGCAGGTGTAGCCCTAGGTATTTCGTTGTTTTAGTCCTGGGTACTTCCTTATTGTTGATATATATTGGTGGTGGTGTTTCTCATCGTAAAGTGAAAGTTACGTGGGTTGACTTGTTTTCATTTATCTTTATTTTCCATTGTTTTAGTCAGTTTTCAAGCTCATACAAATATTCTTGAAGATGATGTGTAGCTATGTTAATGTGTTTGTGACTTGTAAGTGCTACTGTATCATCTGCAAATGTGTCAATTGTTACGTTATGTGAAGTTGGTAGATCAGACGTATTTAATATATACTGGCTTGCTAACCTGAGAGCATGGTATAGAAAGACCTCAACACAGCTATTTCGTATAGCAACCAACAAAATCATCATAGCCAGAATCGCCAACGTTCGAAACAGACAGGCACCCTAAGAAGAAGAATCTATAAAATTTTGTTTTAGAAATATTATCACCTCGTCCTTATGATTCGGCAGGCCATTGGCATTCCATTCAGCTATTCGTAGAAAGAATTTTATTTGCATACGAGTTTACTTAGCATGTTTATTACCATGCTGTTTTGTTGCAAGATTTGATTAAACATGGCCTTGAATTCTTCTAAAAACTTCATAAGAATAGTGTTTGAATCTTGGTTATCTGAAGGAGCAGCAGGAGGTTGTCTATTACTCGTTACATTAGCATAGCTTACATTTGGTCTTACTGTATTGAGTATAAAGTTTCTGTTACGTGCTTGCGACATATTTTGGTGATGATTATATGTATTTTGTGCTATATTTTTATTTCTATTTAAATTACGATATTCTCATCCTTTATAGTTAGCTGGGTGATCTCCTCCACATAAAGCACATGTAGCAGGTGTGTTCTTGTTCTTTTTACAGCTGTTTGTACTGTGCTGCCCTCCACATTTCACACAGACATATGGTCTATTGCAATATGTTTTTGAATCGCCATACCGGGTGGTGAATCGTCAAGCGGTCCATAGGAAACTCAATGGGAAATTTTAAATTGTTGAATTGCTGCTTCCCTAATTATTTTAGATCAAAAGTCATAAAAAACTATTTGTAGAGGATTAAATTCTAAATTAAAAACAAATGTTAAAACCGTTCTAGCAATCAAATGTACTTCAAAATTTTGCAAAAATATAATTTTCAGACCACCCCTACAAGTTAGGCCACACGTAATACAAGAATATATTATAACTTGTGTGTTTTATCATATTTATGTCAGATGTTTGACAATTTGAATTGTCAATTTTTTTTAGTTTATGATTAAATTATAAATAATGAATTTTACTAAATACTACTACTACTGAACAATATTACTTTGTGAACAATATTGACAAATCGATCAATATAATGAAATGTACTCAGTTGACGAAAAATCGCATAATGTTGTATTCAGGCAATAGCGCGAACCTTTTCCTGTCACTACCGGATCTTTATTTAACGTAAGATATTCTAATACACTAAAGTTTAATTCCATGTTAAGTTATACAACAATTCAATGAATTCCAATATACTGTTACTGTGATCTTTATTACTAATAATAATATACGATAATTTCTAAACATAAAACTATAACAAATGTTATAATAAAACATGAATAAAACATTTTTATTATTGCTCTTGTCTCCTTAACTGAGGACATTTTTTAATCAACTTAATTTTTCTTTTAAATAATAAATCACAAAATTTTGGCCATTTAAATCATAGATAAATATAATATAGTTGATTTAAATATTGTCAAGTATTAGAAACGTTAATATGACAAAACGCAACACGTAATACACATTCTTTTCACGGCGTCTGGCCTGACTTTTAGGGGTGGCCTGAAAAATGTATTATATTTTAGCAAAATTTTGGAATACGTTTAAGTCGTTGAACAATTTTAAAAATTGTTTTCGATACATATTTGAGTCCTCTACAAATAGTTTCCAATGACTTTTGGTGTAAAATAATTAGAGTTTCCTATGGTCCGTTTGACGATTCACCACCCTGTATAATTGACATCTCATATATTGGATGCTATTTTTGTTTTTTTATGGGTGGTTCAATTTGTATATTGCAGTGTTGTAATTTCTGAATTTTATAAATATCTTGATTATTGTCTGATGGTTTGTCACCTCGGTGCTAAATAATAAGGGTCTAAACGCCTTCTAATGCCTCCGGGTGCTCTGTAGAAGGCTTCAGAAACATCGTGAGGTCCTCTACTTGAATCCATTTTCAGGTTATGGATTTCAAACTGTTTAGATATTTCTTACATGACAAAGATATTAAGGTTGTCGAAATAAAATCACCAAATATTCAGTTGAATAATAATACTCAGCCACAGAGTATGGGAAAATCTAAAAAAAGAAAGCAGAGCCCCGAGAGCACTAAGCTCTCGGAGAGCCCTTGAGGGACTGAACTTGATTGACCTGAAAATCGCCTATTTTTATACTTTCTGAAGTAGCGATTAGGGATTTCCAGGTCAGGGAGGGGCCAACGGGAAAAATAAGGGGCGGGGCGATGCATCTCGAACGCGAACTAGTCGCGTCCGAGAACAGGTTCAAGGTAAACAAAGAACATATTTATTGGCTCTTGTAATCCTATGTTTAGCATTAATGACGTTTCTTACCTTGTGACCCTTACCTTGTGTGTTTTGTCAGTTATTCTGTGATATCTTTTGTTACATGTGAATAGTGAAGGTATTTAATTACTACTCTATAGGCCCTTTCTTCCTTTGGTTGATATGTGTGATGAATAATGTTGTTCTCTCTCATATATCTTGATAATTTTCTGTATATTTCTGGAACGCTACAAATTACTTTGACTGTATTATTTGCCATAGTCCTGGTTTCGTATTGTTCAGCTTCAGCTATTTCTGTAAATTTTTTCCTCTTCTTCTTCTTCCTCTGTAAGTCGCTTACACCGTAAACAAATATTGGTGGTGGTTTAGGTTTTCTTGGCGCTGTTTCATTTTGATTGGTTTCATTTTCTTGGGTATCCGTTAGGGTATTATATTTGTTCGATAGTGTAATGGTATCATCTTCTTTGTCTGTTTCTACATTTGATATGATTTTTCTGCGATTTGTAGCTTTAAATACTAGCCATGAGTTTTTTTTTGACACATTTGCACTTTCTAGTTCGTCATCGCTTGTTGATGACATTCTGTAGTATTGCTGGCTATTTCTGTTATTTATATTGCTGTTGTGTGGCGGGTTTTGTTGATTTATATATTGTTTGTGATTGGGCGGAAATATCATATTCGTCGAAGAATTGGTGGTTGGTTGATTTATTTATATATTGTACATACCTGGTGTTTGTTAATGCTGTTAATGGCTCCTAACTACGAAAAACCGAGCTTGTGCCGGTGTAACCACTCGATGGCCAACCGCTTCGTGTGAAAAAGCCAACAAATTCAAGCTCATTTTTTGTTCTGGTGTTCAGAAATTAATGCTAAAGGAGAAGGAACTATATATTAGCTAATGGCATAAGCATATAGAAGGCACAAAGAAATCACTACATTAAGGATCGACATGGATTTCGCTAGCAATCATTATCGCTGTACAAGAAAGAACTGTCTTTGAACAGGCCTACAAAGCAAAATATAACAAAAACGAAAAGCATAAAAAAGGATTAATTATGTCGAAGAACTCTTTGAAAATCATGAAGAAATGCGAGTAGATTGCTTTGAAAACATCGACACATATGAAAGTGCTGAAATATCCAAAGAAGAAATATACACTGAACATAATTCACTGATATTAGGACTTTTCATCAAAAAATAGTATCAGCCGTTTTTTTGGAACAAACATTTTGTAAACAAACAAGTTAGCTTAGTAATATAAATAATATAAATTATTAATATAAAAAATACCAAAGAAAGTATAGTTATAAAAAAAATAATAAAGTGCCACAATTAGAAAATCAAATTTTTTAATCGATATTTATTATGATACCTGTACGCAAAATAGTAACAACGAAGCGGTGTTGTTATGGAGTATGTAATTCTTTATTAAATTAAAAAATCTTCGTTCAATAAATATTTCTTTATGAAATTTATAAAACAGTATGTATAACGTATAATATACAGAGTGGCCCAAAAGTCTGGAAACAGCCAATTATCTCGTAAACTGCTAGTCATAATTGTATAAAATTTGAGGTACACCTATTTTGGGATACGGAGATTTTATATTTGATGTGTTTTTTGTTAAAAACTCGATTAAAATACTGCTTTTTATGTAATAAACAAATTATATTTTTATATTTTTTAGGATAACACAGCCTACTGAATGCGATCTTATATATGGATACCCTCCCCAAAGAAATGAGTGAGTTACACATCAACAACATACGCTAAAAAATTAAAACGATATTTGATTTTTAGGTCTCCTATTTTAAACGCTCCGATTCCTAGTATAAGACAGCGATCATAGATACTAAACCGATAATCCTATAGTTCCTTCTAAATCCTAATATTCCCAGTTCCCCCAGGTAAAGTGTAAAGTATGTATATTATACCGTTGTATATATCAATGGAAATATCATCAAAAAGGATATTTTTTATTAAATGTTATACAAATAAATTTTAATTGGGTTTAAAAAGCACCATTTGATATTTTTATGCCGGTTTTACCATAACTCAACTTAATTACCCTTCCCTTTTATACTAAATATTATAGGGTACCGTAAATAGCTTTCCTTAAATTTCTATGTTTCGAGTATGGATAAATATTTCTAAAGTTCTGTTTAGACCATTTTTTTACACCGTTGTTTTTTTCCATTTTGCTTTTCTTTAAATAGTAGTAGTAGACCGTGCCACTAAAGGATATTAAGTCCTTTGACCACTAAATCACCAATCACAATCATCGTCTCCAAAGTCATGCGTTATCAATACATTAAGGCTATGGAAAAGGATCGAAAGAAAAAGCATAAAAACGTTAAAAACGATGTCAAAAAAGTTCAGACACCTTTATTAACGATTTCAACGGCTTTTGACGATTTTGCCAATTTCGTGTCTCTTCTATTTTAGACTACTTTTGTGTTAACGACGCGTGACCTTGAACACGCTATTGTGGTTGGCGTTTAGGGGCAAATGTCAAAGTGCAGTGAAGTATCTTACTATTTAATTGCACTGTCAGTTTATTATAATTTTGTTATTTTTATATTTTTCTATTATGTATTATTTAGGATAATCAGAATTTATGGCATTTTGTATTGTTGAAAGTTCCTTATGTATTACAATTTAGTTTTACAAGTTCGAAATAAGTACCGCATTATAAAAATAATTATAATATAATATATATATATATATATATATATATATATATATATATATATATATATGTAAATACGTGGATGGACATTCAGTACATTGGTGAAACTGGAAGAAATCTGTCTAGTCGTATCATTTCTCATAAGAGTGACTGTAGACTAAATAAACCCACTTGTGCTTTGGCAGAACACACTATCGATCTAGACCATAAGATAGATTTCAACAATGTAAAAATATTAGCCAGAGAGAAAAATAAATTTAAGAGAACATTCTTAGAAATGGTACATATCAGCAGGAGTGATAACAACAATCTGAATAAAAGATCTGAGATCCAGAATCTTAGCAAAATTTACAATTTTATTTTGACTTTTGACTAGGGTTTTCTGCATCTCAGAGTGTTTCATGTTTCTTAAATTCCATTAATAATTGCTATAATTATCATGATTAACTTCAGTTATTATTCAGATGTTCATTTTGTTTTGGTTGTTTGTTTTTTCTAAACCTACTTACTAAATACTATTTTCTTTTTATTGTTTGACATAATAAACTTTTTTTTAAATTTCCCTCTCAATTCTAAGTTGGTAACATGGTTGGTAGTACTTAAAATCACAAACGGCATTTTGTTAGACATCAGTTTGAAAGTTTGTTTTTTGTAGTTACATCGAACTATTTAAACAACAATAGTTCCTCCTACTACCTCTTTCTGTTCGTAAGATGTGACTGAATTCAAACCTGCGAAGACGACTGTTTTTTGTCAAACATGTCGTCTTATTTTTTACTTTTTAAACTTTGTAACATGTTCTTTAATTTTTAAGTTATTTTAAAGTTTTTAAGTTTTAATGCCTTCAGTAATTCAGATCACATTATGTTATTTAACGTTGTGTTTTATATGCTATGAATCTTACTTTTTGGTAAGTTTTTATAACTTTTATATTACATCAGCCTAATTTTATAACACAGTAATTTTCATTGTAGACCTTGATAAAGGTGGCAAATAACCACCGAAAGCTCGGATTTCAGAATAAATAGTACGCCTTAGCAAAGCTCTATTTTTTATTGACTACCACACCCAAAAAGAAAAAAGTATTTACATATTTTTTCCAAACTAGTCAAAAAATTTTGGACTACATTATATATATATATATATATATATATATATATATATATATTATATAAATCCCATTATATTATAACGATAAATTGATTTGCTGGCTCATGCAAGAAGATAAGAGACCTGTAAGAGGTTAATGGTCTTTGGTTTTACAACGTCCACAAAATCATTACCAAACAGCTCCAGACTTCCCACAGACTTTCGAAAGTAGGCCAAAGAGTCTAAACAAGTTTAGACGACGCTTTTAAACGACGAGTTCGGTTTATTTCATTTGCTCCGTTTATTAGCTCCAAAAGATTTACTCCAGCTGATGCAATATTCTGTTGTTCCGTTTGCGCCTTTTATTAGTTCCAAATAGATTAACTTCACTCAATGTCGTGCAGCACCAGACATTTTTTGTGCGCCAGTCACGTATTTTGTGGGATGTGAAAACTGAGCTTTTTATTCTTTTGGAGCGATCTTTAAATGCAAATTTTGATATATATCATTTTTGAAGTTCTTTTGTTTCGTTTTCTCCTTTTAACCCATTAGTGCCTGAATTTAATTTTTACCAAGTTTTCGATTGAATGAAATAAAATGACCTGTTAAATAACTTAAATATAATGAATTTTACGGTACAATAAAAAAACTATTGAATTGAAGTCAAAAACGGTGTTTTTTCTATCATTTTTCTATCTATTTTTGTTAAGTATAAAATTACAGTCCAAACATAAGTCTGCATCACATTTAGTACATATTGTTCATGTACTTAAAGAACAGTTGTCACCAGTACAGCGTCTTCTTTTATTATTTTGAACGTACACTAACAAATGATCTTGACCATCATATCTAGGATGATCTGAAATTCTATTATTTGAGTTACTAAATTAAGACGAAGCTGATCTTGGTGGGATCCTTTTGGTGGGTTTTGAAGTTTTTGGAAAAAATGCTGGGCCATATTTCGTCGGAGAGCTAGCTGTTGTAATTGGTCATCGTGACTTTTTTAATATAATATCCGGGCATTATTAATTGCTGCATCTAAGAGTAAGCTAGATATACACCACCACAATTTTCGGGCTCGGATATCAATTCTATAACATTATATGTTTTGCTACATTAAATCTGTTCCTCCTTCCATGGAGTTATTATACTTCCCAATTAGGTCTGGTCTGGATATGCTATTTATTTGTTCCTTTTTACTATATCTCTGACCTTTTACTGTTCCTTTTTACTATAACCTGACCAAGCGGATTGATACCAAAACTTGTAGATGCCACAGCTACTACATTGTTGTCTTTCCATTTTATAAAAATAATCCGATGGTTTTTATTAATAAATGAAGTATAAGAACCTCGTTCCCAGTTTTTCATCGATTTTTTCAAAACAAGGGGACATGTATGTGGAATGCGATCTTCACGAAATGTACTCGTTATGTGATATCCTTTTTCGTGCAAAAAAATTAAACAACGTAGTGTACTTGTAAACAGATTGTCAACAAAAAAACTAAAGAAATATTCGGGATGAGGTATATCTTTAATCATGTATATTAGTGGATCAGCGGCTTTACCAAATAAATGGTCATGCTGCTCATTGGAAAATAGTCCTTTCCCTTGGTAGAGGTAAAAATTTACTAAATATCCATCTTTATTATTAAAGGACCACATCTTGAAGCCGAATCGGATATGCTTGCCTCTAATAAACTGTTTACAACCATGTTTTCCTAAGTACTTAATCATTGATTCATCATAATCGAGATTAGAGACAGAAACAAATTTTTTAACAAATTTTAATTTGTTATAAATCTTAACTGAAATAGATTTATAAAAGATCGCAGTTTGTATAGCTTGTCACGTTTGTATAATTTTGTGTTGTCGTCACAGTGGATAAATTGAAGGATTTGTTTGAATCTATTTCATCTCATGGCATTATAGACAGCCGTATTTCTTAAATTTGCTCCAGACTCCCAGAAATACTTTGTACCTGGTTTTGAGTTGTAACCACTTACAATCTACACTTCGTGTACATCTGATATTAGTATTTCTGTATTCACTAGCCCAACCTCTACATTTGAATGAAATTGGGACCCAGTCAAGTCTCAATGAGGCTACCACCGTCTTCATCCCCAGAATCCTCGTCAGTCAGTTCGGCTGCCTCTAGACGTTCTATGAAAATTTCCTCTGCCATCAACAAATGCCATGTCAAGGGCCTCTTGTAAAGTAAATCCTCGACTATAAAGAAGTAAGCTGATAATGAAGAAGCTTAAGATTGATGGAAAACATTAAAAAATAAATACTACAGAGTTTATTTATAAATAAATCAATAATTAAAATAAATGGTCAATTATGTGCACATAAAAGCATAGCGTTACATATACAGTGTAGGAAAAATTTTATGGTCGGTATGGACCTTACGTGAGATGGAGTGAGAAACAGCTGTTTAAAAAGAGAGAGGTATATTAGGTACGCCCTTTATATCGCCAAACTCTGTGGCCGAACCTTCATGCCTAGAAATAACAAAAAAGGGGAAGTTCAACGTTGCCAAACTTATCGGTTTTATTTGACCTGTTGTCTTTTTTGCATTTGAACAATGTTCTATCAAGAAGATAAAATGCTCAAGATAATCAAATTTGGGCGAAATTGATTTAAATGGCAGGTTACTGTTTTTTTATTGGGAATGTGCCACAAGTTTTCTTTACAATAATTGTAATATAACATTTTGATTTCCATTTCGGAAATCGTTTTATATAAATAAAATTTATTAATGTTTCGTATTTTAAGTACGATTTCCGAACTAAAAATCTAAACATCAAAATAATTTCCCAATATGAAATAATAAACAATTAAACATGCATACAATAACGCCACATTAAAAAATATTCATACACTAATTCTTTGGCAACGTCTAGTCTAGATAGTCTTCTGGTCAAAAGATCGAGTAACGAGAAGTAGAGGTGGGTCGTGCTAGTTTATCGTTAAAAGCGTAGAAGCAAAATGTTTTTTAAAAGCATTCATTTTTTTCGAATCCTGAGAAAACTAATAAATATTTTTGAAAAATTTAAACGCAGAATGAAACAATACATTATTACCGAGAGCCGAAAGTCCCTGAAAACTTCTATAATGTTTATTTTAATAAGTTATAGGGATGAAAAAAAAAACAAAATTTAGTGTGATTTTTAATTTCAAATATCTCATTAAAAAAACTTTTTGTTTATTCTAAGGGACTTTTGGCGCTCGGTAATAATGTAATCTTCCATTCTGCATTTAAATTTTTCAAAAATATTTGTTAGTTTTCTCAGGATTCCAAAAAAATTTAAATTTTTTTAAATGCTAAAAAGCATTTAAGCATTTTTAAATGCTAAAAAGCATTTAAAAATTTTAATTTTCATAAACAAGTAACTATGATTGTAAAAAGAGTTTCAAGTAAGAGAGTACCTACATAAACAAACATAACGGCTATTATCGTTTATGTGTATATCTTTTGAAGTGAAAGAAACTACCTAATGATATATTTATTATAACTTGAAAAATAAACTAAACAATACAAATAGTAAATCGGACTTACATTTACATTACACGTTATTATTAAATCGCGAATAGTCTAAATTGACATAAAAACATAAGTTTTTCTTGTAATGGACTCTGCAGGTGTACGTGTAGATGAGTCATCTCCAATTAATTGATCAAAAATACACCATGGACTTAAGTCATATTTATTGGTTTTTTTCTTGTACTGGTTGATTTTCAATAGTACAATCTTCTTGTTCGTTAATTATAGAAGTAACCAGCTTCTTAACTTTTTGTTTTGTTCTGCACTTTAAATCGTGAATCCATAAATGTACATAATGACAATGTGCCACTCTGTTCTATCCCTCTAAATCTTTTTGCTAAACCCGATATTAGTAATTGTACTATGTCGGATACTATGGATGTAAGTATGCCGTTTGCTAAAATTTTATTGCAAGATTCTTGCAGGCAGCGTACCACAACAATCACTGAACTAGCATTCAAGCATTTTTGATCACTCATTGTACTTGTTATTTCTTTAAATGGCCGTAAAATTTGGGAAAGTTGAGAACAAATAATCCAGTGTTCTTTATTTAGATTAGGTTTAAGTCTAAGTCTGTATTATTTAATACCAATGTGGAACGGGTTGCTTCTTCTAACTCGGTTATTCTTTTTAACATGTAATAGGTGAAGTTCTACCTAGTTTCCACGTCTTGGATTGGCCGTTTGGGAACTGTGTTCTGTTGTAATTAATACTTTAAAAGCCTTTCTGAAGATAAGGTACTTTTTTGAAATGTGTTTTTTTGCAGAATTGTCGAAAAAAGGACTTTTTATTTTATCTATTTGTACACGACAGCATTTAAGTGCGTCCCCCACCAATAAATTTAATCATCATCATAAATCACAATCATCATAAAACAAAACATATTTAATAGCTTTGACCATATTTGAGGAATTATCAGTTACTGCAAAATTTACTTTTCGTTTTAGACCCCACTGATTAATAATTTCAGTAATCGCTGTTTTCTGGATTATGGTTTCCAGAAAAATGGCAGCAGCCTAATAAAAAAGTTTTGAATACTAAATTTTCGGTTAAATATTGTCCTGTTAATGCGAAGTAACTCTCAGTTACTCCAGATGTCCAGAGGTCAGTAGTAATACAGATATTTTCTACTTCTTTAACAACTTGTGATCTAATAATTTGCTCACTTTTGACATAACATTCCTGAAGTAATGAACCTGACAAAGTTTTTATTGTTGGCGGTTTATATCCAGGAATCCACCCTGCAAACTTTTTAAAAGCTGGTTCTTTAACTATGGAAAACGGATGAAACGAAAAGTTTAGTAAATCTTGAAAATCAATCAGTCCAAGAAAAAGAAACTGATAAAGATGACTTAAGTCCATGGTGTATTTTTGATGAATTAATTGGACATGACTCATCTAAACATACACCTGTATCGAGAGGTATAAAAGAAGTCGACATGTAATTGTCTGATGATATATTACCTACAAACAATTTCGAACGGAGATTGTAACTGTCCATTACCGTGGTGAAAAAACCATCGCCATGTATATCGTAACTTAACCACTATATTCATAAAATGTTGTAGTATTGTAACAAAATCTTTTCCTTGTGAACACATGTTTAACATCTGGTATAATTTTAAATAAAAGAAGAACGCGACTAACAAGAAAAGTGGAAAAACTTATGTTTTTAAATGTCAATTTAGACGATTCGCGATTTAATAATGTGTAATGTAAATGTAAGTATTTAAGTACCATTTGTATTATTTAATTTATTTTTCAAGTTACAATAAATATATCCTTCGTTAGGTTCTTTTATTTCAATACTTATACACATAAACGATAATAGCCAATATCGATACATTTTTGCAAAGTAACATAAGTGACATTTTTGGCGAAAATAATGTTTTTCAATTAAACTAATGCTATTACTGTTAAAAAGGTACTGAAAGAGTGTAGTAAGCCTAGATTTACTTTAAACCTTTTTTAGGACAAGTTTTTTCAGTCATAATTTAAATAAGTTTAAGCAGGTTGAATTAAAAAATTGTTTTTTCTACAAATCGTTTTTGGTGACTTACGTTACTTTGCCAAAAATGTATCGATATGTTTGTGTACTCGCTAATTTGAATACTGGTAAACAATCAACTAGTTACAGTTTACGAAAAACGGTTCCGATAAAAATTAAAAAAACGAGAGGACCCACCTCTAGTTTTTTAGGTATATTAGGATCGGAACCAGAGAATATCTGATCGGAACTAATCGTCTCACTAATGGGCAATGGCCAATGAGTGTTAAAAGGATTTTAGGAGGGGAGACGAAGGGGAAATATGATTGTTATCTTTGTCTAATTCGGTGAAAATATGATTTTATATCTGCGTTAGACATCCTGTTAAATTTTACCATACCGACCTTAAAATTTTACCTACACTGTATGTAACACTCAACTTTTGATCAGTATAAATCACCCAATATTTAAAAGTATAAGAATGTTTCTAAACTACATGAATATATAATTAAATTACTAATCACCCCAAAAAAATTGTTATAGTAATTATTCTAAATTCAATTTTAATGTTCTTACTCGAATTGAATATCAGGTTCCATTTTGTAAAAAAAGAATAGTATAAATTTGACACATTTTAAGTACCAACTACGTTAACTAAACTAAACAAAACTTATGTGGACGTGAACAGTAATGTCTGCCAAGTGAACCGTGCCGCCATCTGTCAGTTAGTAGTTCTACAAAAAAATTTACAATGGATAAATTAAATCTTTTCCTGCGTTACATATATGTAACTCTTGGCACTAATGGGTTAATTGGTCCCAAGTATTGACTCCCGTCCACTGGCATACAGCATCAGAACTTTTTGAGTTCATCAGTAACGTTGCATTTCGTTAGATGGGAAAACTGTGCTCTTTATTGTCTACAGCATTCTTTTGTTTTGTTCTCTTTTATTGGTCCTAAATATTGACTCCCGCGAGTTTATCAGTAACGTTGTGTTTTGTTAGATGGGTAAACTGTGCTTTTTATTGTCCTTAAGCGGTTTTTATATTAATAACATTCCTGAAGTTCTGTTGCTCCGTTTACGCTTTTTATTGGTCCCAAATATTTACTCCAGCTACTGTGGTGCAACACCAGATCATTGGCATCACCCACGTTGTACTTTCTGAGATGGGACAATTGAGTTATTTATGCTTTTTATTCTTGCGTAGCGGTCTTTAAATGCAAGTTTTTATATAAATAACATTCTTGAAGTTCGGTTGTTCCAATTTTTTCATCTATTGTTCCTCAATATTTACTCCAGACACTGTGATGCAACATTAGAACTTTTTGAGTTTATCAGTAACGTTGTATTTTGTTAGATGGGAAAACTTTTGGTATGGGAGCTTTTTACTTTTCGTCAACTGCCGTTATATGCGAGTTTTTATATTTAATGGCATTCTCAAGACTATTTTATTCTCTTTGCTCTTTTTATTGGTACGAAATATTGACTTCAGCCACCGTGTGCACCAGCAGAACTTTTGGGGTTCATCTGTAATGTTGCGTCACAGTTTTTATATTAATAACTTTCTCAAGATTCTGTTTTTGCTTTGCTCCTTTTATTTTCCCCAAAGATTCGCTTCAGCTACGTTTCTTTAGTAGTAAACCTTTTTGAAGGGCTCTAATGGTTTAAGCTTGTCTTCGTTAAGCAGAAAAGTAGATTTGTATTCTTCGAAATCGGGGTTTAAATGCGGATTTTTAAATTAGGGGCAGTCTGAAGATTATTATGTTGCATTTACTCCTTTTTGGGTTCTAATAGCTTTTTTGAGTGTTTAGAGTGGACTGCTATTAACCCAGACTTGAATTCGATCGGGCATGTTTGCTATTCATTGGTGAGATGAATTAAAACTTGTCGTGTTCGTTTAGAGACCTTGGAAAAACTTTAGGTGTACAATTCATATACAAATCAAAAACTTCAATTTAAATTCTGATTATCTTTCATTAATAAATACCAGTATTATTTATTTATATTATTTATTTATTTTATGTTTGTTTTTTTTATTTCATTTCTTTTTTATTTTTTTCTTAGGGCACGAATAGCATCCAAATAAACTTAAAATAAACAATAGACTTAATAAAACAATATTCCAGTGATGTACAAAACGCCGAAGTGATACAACCCACAACAGTTCAGAAGCTAGAACGCCCTCGTTCTCTCATCATCCAACAAGAAGAACCTCGTAAGGAAGACGAACAAGTCGAAGAAAAGGAACTGGAGGAATTAGGCAACGATTCTCCGATCGAGGACGACGCTTTAGACTCGTTAGAACTAGCCGTGGAGAATTTGGACGTAGGCGAAGCTGAGAAAATTAAAGTTAAGGGTGCTACGGAAAACTTCTTATACGGAGACGACGACGGGCCGTCGCCTAGGAAAACCCCCAGCCATTTAACCGAGCAGGGATATTTCGACTTGAAATTTTACCATAATAAACTTTGGTGAATTTTGTCAAAATAAAATTTTCTGGTTCGAGTTTTAGTTATTTGTGGTATGTGATTTTTGTTGGATGTTTGGTTCGGTCGAATATATTAGATAAAATGGGTCTTCTCTGAAAAATTGAGGAATTAAATACAATGTGGTACTTAATACTTGGATATCTCAAAGACTGATAACATTTTGAATATTCTTATAACACTGATTTCTACTGTAATTGTTAGTGTTGGGAATGTATACTAATATCACATTTTGCACTTATTTCTAGTTTAGGGAGCTTTAAACTAGGTTATTAACGAGGGGCTGATGGTGGCGCAATTTTTTGCTTTCAATTGCCGGTCTTTACTCCATTATTCCTTAGTTTATAGTCTCCTTTTTCTTTAGTCCTATAGACTGGCTTTTGTTTTTTTGTGGGTGTTTAGAGTCAGGTGGGGTAAATGTAAATGATTTTTGCACTTTTCAACTAAAAATTTATATATATCTTTGGTAATACCTACTTAGTTTCAGTTGTTTTACCCATTTTCTCGAAATTTCGTGTTCGTATTGGTTATTATAAGGGCTTCAGGATCTGTTGACAATTCTTCGGACCAAAAATTCAAACTACAAAAATATGTAAATGGAAACACGCAATTCGTTGTCCTATTAATTTTATATTGAATTTTTACGGGGAAATTGTGAAGAACAATGCAAGTGAACATTTTAAACACATGTAATGTACTTTACAATGGTGTTCACAATTACCCATATATACAGTTTGTGCACACAAATGCCTATAAAAATAAGCTGAATCAAAGTTTATTTTTCGAAAACACTGATAGTGCCAGGAAAAATGTGAATTGTTTTTCTACATTTAAACTTGTGGGCTCAGGTAGCAAGGCGTCGATCATTTCAAATTTAATTGACGACATATCGGTTTTCCTTTTTGACGAATTTCCAAATTTATCGTTACGCCTAAATCCAACTACTGCAATGTCACCATTTTTTTATCTACGTCGCGTACACGGCAGACATATTTATAACATGTGTTTTTTCTGGTTCATCTATGGAATTTTGTTAACACATATATGTTTGACCTAATTAGGTGCCCTTCTGGCAGTTGATATTCAAAATATGATACACACACATCAAATATTTTGATACACATAAAACGTTGACCTTCAAAAAAGATCAGAGAAAACCAGAAGTCATCTATAGTTTCTGTAAAACTTTGGAAAAGGTGGTTATCGAGTTTGTTTTCAATGCAGATGAAAGTGGCTTTGGGAACGATCCATCGAGAATAAAGGCGATTGAAGAACGAGGAAAAACTCTCAAGAGTCTCTGGTGGTTCGGAGAGAGATTCCACAAGTGTTCTTGCGTTGCGGCTGATGGTTCTTTTCTGCCACCCTTCATTGTTTTTAAAGGGTGTGCAGTGCAGGCAAGGTGGACCTCAAAAGAAGCTTTCCCAGGAATAATTTATTCCTTGTCAGCAAATGGATGGATGGAGGAACCCCAGTTCTACAATTGGTTCCACTCTGTTTTCGTAAAGTGAGTGAAGGATTTACGCGCGACAAAATATCTGCCTGGCAAGAAAGCGTTATTGTTATATGACGGACATAAGAGTCACATAAGTTAGAGGATTATTGAGTACGCACTTGAAAATAATATTATATAATAGTATTAGTCAAGTTTACCAGCAATTTAACAAACACGCTGCAGTCAACAAACTTGCTAGGAGAAAAATCTTATTGCTTATGGAAAGAAACATGTGGGGCACGGAGTAGGACGAATACAGACTAAATAATTTACTTAGCTTTTAGGACAAGTGTGGAATTTAGCTTTCACTGAGAATAATATTAAAAGCGCATTTGTAACCACAATAGTATTTCCAGTCAACCCTAAGAAGTTTCCAGAAGATGAATTTAATCCTACTGATTTTGAAAAGGTTTAAAGACTACCAACGGAGAGCCTTTCAAGATAATAACATTCAACAGGGCGAACATAGTCAAGTCGAACTAGAAACAAATAATAGTGACGGTATTCCCACAGAGGCAGAACCACTACGAGTACAGCAGGGTCCGTCCGGATCTGCCAATTTAGATGTCAAGTGTATTCCTACTTAAATTTCGAATTATGTGCTCTACAGTGGGCCTTATATTTCATCCCTTTTTCTACCTTAAAAAGAGGTGACATCGCTGTGCGGAATTAGTTTTCCCAATTACATTTCTTATATGTTTCTATCGTCGGTTATATAAAAATTATTCACTTCCCCAGATACGTCTCGTCTATTCTCGACTTCCAACGTATCTTTTTTTGCGTTCCTTTCCTACTCTCACTGCAAACAAGATAGGTATATAGGTACTCTTCATATCCAATTAATCTGAATTTGATGTTTAACATGTCTCAAATAACAATCTTTCCGTTTCATACATTTATTTACCCCCTACAATGTTTATTTCCAGTATGACTTAATTTTCTGGAGTTTAGTTTAAATATGGCTTATCGATCTCTTTTTGCCTATTCAATATTGCCTTTTTGTGCTGACCTTCAGTTTGTGTGTCAATTGCGCAACACATTAGACATATCTGAGCTCGATATTAAGTGGAGGATTTCAATATATTGCTTATAAATCGTTAGTATATTTTGTAAAAGACTGGAGTTGGTGTTAATGTTTCCATTGTAGCTTTAATGTTTTTATAAGATCCAAGAACAGTGAATGTTGTAGTTTAAGTATTTTTTTCATAATTTTTTTTATGCTGTGCACTAGCTCTAGAATTTGCTAAAACGCGCTCTGCTATCCACGTGCTAAATGCTAGGTTATTATGTAGTAATTCTACTGAAGAAATCTGGTAATAGAACTACATTTGTTGTTGTTTTTCTAAGAAGACCCACTTTAAATCTTATTGTTGCTGATTTTGTATTTTATACTAAAAATAATTTACTTTATAAGGTGCTTAACTAACGAGATCTTCACGTAGTGAAGAAGGGCATTTTATTCGACTTAACTATATATAGGGTATCTACTTTTAAAGGAAGTTTCCAATCTCGAAACAAACCAAATTTTCTGAGACCCTGTATATTTTTATATATGTTTATATACCAAATTAAATATTTTGTGCATTACTATGGAAGAAAGATCTTTTGCTTGCTTGAGTACACTGCTCAGAATAATTTGAGAAATATATCTCATTTTTACTGATAAACACACATTTTTTTCAGTACTTATAATACATTAAATACAACATTATCACTTTAAGAATAGGTATTCGTAAAACAAAGCCTAAAATTGTTCATTAATGCCTATGACGTCATTTATAAAAAGACAACTGACAAGGTAAGTGTTAGTAGATGACACTTGACGTAAATCACGTTTCGAATTTAAGTATATTTTTACTGATATTTTCATTCACTGTTAAATAGCAAAAGTATTTCTCTAATTGTTTTTAGCGGTGTATACATAAAAAAAAAATTTAACGAACTTCGCTACAAATAAAAAGTATTATTATCGGGAGTATTTTACAAGTAAATAGCTGGTGTGTGCTTAAAGGAAAAATTGTTCTTTCAAAATAAGAAAATAAATTGGCACATTCAGCTCTTTGCTTGAATATCACTCTAGTGTAAGTAAAAGATATTTTGGCAATTATCGATACGCTTATTCGCAATACAAATTTATAATAATGCTCGTCACTGTCGTAGTTTTTTATTGGACATTATTTTATTATTTTTTAATTGGAAAAAGATAAACAATCTAACACGACAATTTATTTCGCAAATCAATATTTATTTTATATTTTATTGATGAACTCTATTTATTCTTCTCGATTTCGGGCAAAATATAATTCGCCAAGCGTTGAAGCGACAGTAAGAGCTGATCCTGTATCTGATTACTGATCCCAGCAAGATCCTGAGACAGGTTAGTTTTCAGATCAACCTGCTGATAACTCGTCGTTGCGATACTAATCTAGATTGGTACGAGTGGAACCGCTGGTCGGACATTTGACTTGGTTTGATTTGGTTGACGCACTTACTTGAGCGGGTGAGGTGTGAACCATCTGTTGGACAGTGCATTAACGATTCTAAGGCTGTCCCCTTTCTAATCAAAGGATAACTCTTATTTTCGTTGAGATTATTGGTTTACATTGGGATCCCCCTTGCCAGTAAACTAATGCCCCTGCAATCTCGAGATTTAGAAGAAAGAGTAAAAGAGTATGAGTATTATAATCTGTTCGATGTTGAAATTCAGGATTGTCTATAGTCGACGTAACGTCCTGTCTGGGTGGTGACCTGGTAGAACAGTTTCTACGCTGCGATCTATTGATATTTAGCCCTCAGTTAAGGGATTCGCCTTGTCGGTTGATGAAAACCTTAGTATATATTAAAAATAATGGATGAGACGAAAAATAAGGAGGTTAAAGCTATGATTTGTTAGAACAGTGAGCGACGCATAACTCACAGTCAGTCGAACGCCGCGCACGTTCGTCAAAATCAAAGAAACGGTTCTCTATGACAACGGCTTGTTAGGTTCTGCTGAGCTACGCGCACTGCAGACCGATAGCCATGTACGTCGACGGTGTGAGATGGAATCAACTGCGATTTGATTTGAACACAAACGTTCAGCTGAGCTGACAGCGTACACATCTATACCGAAATTATAATTGTATTTTTATATAGTTATTAATATTGTAATAATTAAGTGATGTCTACTAAATTTTCTCGTTTTGAAACAATCTTTGTTCGACTGTAAATTAAAACTCACCTTCTGTATTGACATGAAAAAATTTCGTTTACATTTTTATTTCTTTTATTTAAATTTAACGTTATCAACTCTTCTTCTTCCTCCTCTTCTTGGAGTAATAAAATTATTGCATTAAGTTTGTGAGAATTTATTTTTTTTTAATGTACATTTATTTATCGTATGGCAATTACAACACATTTAGAACAAAATTACAAACACTAGTAATATAGGTATATGACAAACTTTAAATAATTACAAACAAACATCAAGTGTATTAACATAATCAATTGACTCTGAAGTTGCAAACAGGAAGTCTTCAGGGCTACCGTTATA